TAATTTTTGCACATTGTGTTCCCCTGAACACTTAGCTATCTGCAAAGGTGGCTTTTACACACACAACTTACAGCACTGACTTTTTTAAAGAAAAACTAAAGCCCTAATATTGAACTCCTGAGCTTCTTGAATACAGCAACCAGGTGGTTCAGGGAAGTTTCCTTTCCATAGGAAACAGAAGTCATACGCAGTTGCTGTGCATTCGGTAGCCAACTTTTCCACGAGCCACCATTGATGACAGGCTTGTCCGGAATTTTTTCACACTCAGTTCGTACGAAGGGCATGCATAGGCTGCGATGGAAACACCGAAAAAACAATTTAGTGGCATGTGTCCTTTACAAAAACTGAATTTTTCAGCATATTTAAAATGATTTGGAGCAATGTGTCTTAAAGCAAGCAGGATGTACACTAACTAGAGATGTTACAAGCAAAACTTTCTTGATGTTTTTGGAGAACACAGTTGCAACCCTATGAAATGCAACTTCTACATTGCAGATGTGTCAAAACCATGCTTGAATTGCGCTCGTGCATAGTGCGTTAAAAGCAAATTTAATGATACCTCAACACATACATGATGGTATGCACGTTTATCAAGTATCCATTGCAGGTAACCTATATTATTGAACATGAATTTGATTTCAAATACAACTAATGTAGCCTTTTTCAGGCTGCTCACACTAGGACAAGTATACCTATTATGTCATAAATTGGTATCAATAAAGTACTATTGAGTGCTGCCAAATTATGGTCATCAGTATCAATGATTTTGGTAGGCTAAAATGGCAGTACCCCTCACTCAAGCACCACAGGCTGTCAATGCAAAAAAACAAACATATGAGGCACTCATCTTGAACCACACACCATCCCAACAAAGCATGCAAGTTTCTGCAACGATCTCCGGGAACCAGAATCTTGGAAGCTGTTGACTGCAATTTAGCAATAAGATCTGATGAAACTGATTTCCGAATTTGTATAATTCCTTTGGTGCCAATAGCTTGAAAACTTGCAGTATATATTCATTATTCTCAAATAAATACGGTGTTCAATTTTGCATTTTAATAGCAATACGTGGATGACCTATGCATGCTTACCATGATTTATACCATTATCGCGAGTTTTGAGTGATAAATAAAATATTGATTTTGCACATACAACAGATTCCGTCATCTGTAGCGCATGCCTAGAAAGTTTACTTTATCCAATATACTGTTAAGCTTGTCACTAATCAGAAAATTTCATTGGAGGTGGTGCTATAAATTATTCGTAATGTTCGTACATGTAAAAATGTTTCGCGAAGTTTCTACACCAAGGTTAGGCGAGGTGTATAAAAGACTGAATAAACCAAATCAAAATACTAGCATAGTGGAAACAAGCAGAGTAAAATTGATGGTGCGCGAACGCGTGTACTTATGGCTGAATTAGTGCTCGCACAGTAAGGTAAAGCAATTAGGCCACATTTAGCCATGAAATATTCGTTCTAAAATACAGTTCAGGATAAACGAATGGCTTAAAATGCACGGATTCAGGCCGCATGAGGCAACCTATGTTGCTGGTGTATACCGAAAGTTAGAAGAGCTGCATGAATACTTAAGTGTATGTGCAACTTTTGCGAGCCCTACCTAAGACGATGCAACACGCTGCACACAAACACGCATCAACTCGATTATTACGGTAGTTAATAAAGACGCGTACCGGCGCGGATTGTGTGCGATGCCGACTATTTTTCTTACGCAGCCATTGGACCCGACTTTATGTTCGGGTCTTACGGGGCCTGAGCGGCTTCGCTCTGCCTAAAAGGTGGAAAAGTGAGATAGCATCGATCCCTTCACACTGCATGCGACCGGGAACGCATTCTTCAAGTGACGTGAACATATCTCCGGACATTTGTTACGGATACATCAGCAATTATCTCGCTTTTTCCACTAATGATTTCACCCTCAAGGAAATGTAGGCGTTCAAGTCGAATAAGGCGCATAATTATTTACAAGTGGTTGGTTCAAGGGTCTGTCGGCTAAACAGTTTCAGTTTCAGTTTATTTATTTTTACTTTCGTACAAAACATACATGCTTACATAAACATACAGAAGGAGGTCCCAGAGCACTTGGCTGAAGGGGGACCTCCTGTCAGAAAATGTGATAAATATGCACAAGTAAAATGCAGCAACGTGGAATAAGTTATACAAATAAATGGAATACAGACTGAAAAAACAAATTTTAACAATTATAAGTACAACAAAACACTGCAAAGAACATATAAAAAATAAAAGAAAAACCCAAATATTATTGACGTAACGAACAGAGGAACGAAAAAAGCAAGAAAAAGATGAGTGGCTGTGGCACCATTAAGAGTGCATGAATATGAACAGGTGTAGATAATATTGCACATCTTAGAATTCTATGGTATCCAGCAGAAAAGTAAATAATGTGTTTTAAAAAATAGCTAATGATGAAGACTGCTTAACGTTAAGGGGAAGACTGTTCCAGGTTGATAAGGGCGTGAAATAACCAGAGTGTTTTCCATAATTAGTATGGACTAATGGCAAGAAGACAAAGTGCTTCTGCGCGGTGAGGTATGTTGCAGGTTGTTTTATTTTATTTTTTAAAGTTAAATAATGTTTCATCAATGCGCAAGTTATTTAGTGCGACAATCAACTCAGCTATTTACTGTAACTCAATACCAAAGTGTCATCACAAGTCTTTTTTTTCTTAAGTATCATATGGCAGGAGCTGTTGGTTTGTTTTGTTAGGACGCTTGCCAATATATATCGCGAAGAAAAATACAGGAATGCGTGAAATAGATTTATGTCGCTTGCCGCGTAGTCGTCAATCAAAAATCTAGCTCCCGTGCACTTGTCGCGTCGATCAATGAAGGTCTGCTTTAACTGGTCCAGCCTGTCGTGATTGCTCGTTCACTATAACATGAATAACTCGAAAGCGGCTTGCAAAGATGTCCCCAATGTTTATTCTTACCCCGCAACACGTCATTTGCAGGCGAACCATTCACAAAGGTAGCGAGATCAGCCTCTAGGTGTGTGGATCTTTTACAAAAAACATGGGGTTGTGCTTTCAAAAGCCCATTGAACGTGCATTACAGGCGCTGGGGGAAGGGGGCTTGTTCTGATGTTGCAGCTTGTCTATATGCTGCAGAAAGCAACGTGCGTATGAGAAATGTTATGAAATTCACGTCGCAGAGCAACGTTTGGCTTCCTCCCCTAGTTTCGATAGTCTGCCTACAAACGACTCAAGTTAGCTTAGACGACGGAGTGGCTTAGACATAAATTGTCCCGCTGTTAATGACATCGTTACCTTTGCTGGCGTAGGCGTCACAAACACGTATGTCTCTTCTATCAGTGTGTATACATCAGCAGGTCTTATCCGGGATCCCCGCCACTTCCCGCTTAGCTCTCAGTGATGTTATATGGTTTTGGGGGAAGAAAAAAGTGAGTGTTCGTTAATTTTGCCCAACAAATGCGTTTGGAACAACCAACGACAGCGCAGATTAACCGTCACGACGCGTCGAACGTTCCTCCAACATTCACTTTGCACCGCCGTGGCCGCTGACCTGCTGCACCAGCATGGCGGAATGGTGTCCCAGGATTCCTAGGCTTGACGTCAGTGCAAGCTATGTATAGTCATCGATCGAGTCACATAATAAGAGGTGTGAATTAAGAGCCGCAGTTTCTGCTTACAGGAGCCGTCCGTTATTGCGACTACAGTACTTGTGTTTTGATTGATAGCAATAACGGCTTTACAATTTTCTAATAAGATGAAATTTAATTTCTGGTAGTATTGCATGTGTAAAGTAGTAATAGCAGTTTTGCTAACAGTGTAAATATTTCTTTCAGATGGTTTTGTATGCATGAAATCTACGAAACAGCGAGCGTCTGCCATCTATCCAAGGAAGCAATCAAGATGCTTCACAGCCCCCGTGCACTCAACCTGCAAAGTTTCTAAATGAAGTCTAGTTTCAACGCCAAGCTTTCTTGTCTAGTTTCAACGCCAAGCTTTCTTGCCTATTTGAACCGCAGGGATCAAGTGGCAACTGGAGACAACCGGGACCAGTTGCCAGTGATCGAGTTCCAACTGGGACCCGTTGGCAACAGGTCCCCACTGGGAATCTGACCATAAACCACTTCAAACTGGAAGGTGTTCTGTGGCGTAGCGCAGGAGACGCTGTCTAAGAAATTTGATTGATTGATATGTTGGGTTTAATGCCCCCAAACCACCATATGATTGTGAGAGACGCCGTAGTGGTACTCCGGAAATTTCGTCCACCTGGGGTTCTTTAACGTGCACCCAAATCTGAGCACACAGTCCTACAACATTACCGCCTCCATCAGAAATGCAGCCGCCGCAGCTGGGATTTGAACCCGCGACCAGCGGGTCAGCAGCCGAGTACCTTAGCCACTAGACCACCACGGCGGGGCAAATTTGCATAGACAGTGGCGCTAAAAATATCTTGAGGTAAGTGCACTACCCTCAAGATATTTTTGCGAGAAACTCTATGGTTAGAAAAATTACCCGAAATCACCTTATTTTTTTTTCGTGTACTGTGGTAAATCTTAATAGGTTTTTAAATTTACGGCATTTATTTTAAGCAACATGATCACTCATTTTAATAATTTTCTAGCATAAGTTTTTTTTCTCTTGCCACTTTTAGTAAACGCCCTGAAATAATCAACAGAGAAGGTAGTAGAAGGCAGTAGAGTAAAAATGTAAATAAATATTTAATAAAAAAACAAGTTTCAAACTGGCACACGTTATAACGTGTGCCAGTTTAAACGCGCTTTGAATGCTTTTCGGCCAATGACCCCAAACAAGCCGACGTCGCAAAAACCTTATCACATTATGTAAGTCATGTCACGCGACTCTGTGTATTCCTGGTATTGATATAAATTGCCTATATAATCTCGTGCGCTCGCAGCCACTGTCTCACCTTTTGTCTTATCACTAGCGCCACTATGCTATTGCCACGTAATTTATACGCGAGAAGGTGTTCTAATTTGCGGAGCGGGATACGTTTTTCTTGTTATTTTCTCTAGGCATCATGGCGACTCTGTGTGGCGCATCGCGGTGGCTCGTCCGGCCGGCTTTTCGCGATGTTTCGGTGAGCGAAAATGGTTTTCTTCGATTGGCGCCTAGTGAGCGTGTGGACATGCGGGGTTGTCTGTGTGTCCTATGCTTCGTAGTGTGCGTAGTAAACGATGTATAACAGGTTATTTTCGCTAACGCGATGAAACTCGTCGTTTAATTGGGAGTGCATAAACACTGGTGTCTAACGCGCATCGCGAGCGTTGAGCTGCCACATCGTTTTAGTGGGAAGGCACATCACTTTTTAAAGCTGTGTCATTTTTATCTAGATATTTTACGAGCGTACCTGGCTTACCTGCGCCGTGTTCGTTCGCGCCGTATGCGAGCTCCGACGAGGTCACCTTTGCAAAGTAGTTTTTTGGAACGGCGCTTCGTGTGTCGCCCTCATTAACGAGCAGTTCTGATTCAGAAATAGCGTACGAATGCCCATTGTCGGCGTGAAGTTTCTTTAACGACTTTCCCGAGCACGCAATTGGGACCCGAGTGCGCAGTTTGGATGAAATCCTCAAAGGCCTCTTCCTAAATACAGCCGTCGGGGCCGCTATGCGCATGACATGGTGCGCTTTGACAGCGGCACATTTTGCAAACGTACGGAGTGGAATGAATGGCCCTGTTGGCCTTGATTGAGCGGCGCGTCGGCCATCGGTTATCTGACGCTAGTTCCGGCCGGCATCCCATTCGCCGTCACGTGTGGCCGCTAGCTTGCTGCGTTTTTTTTTTTTTTTTTTTTCAGAAGCTTTGGTTGTATAGTGTGTTTTCGTTACAGCTTTGCAGAGTGAACCGAACACCAGCCGCTCACAGGAAGCTCCACGCATCTTGCAAGAACGAGCAAAAGGTGGGTACTGGCCGGGGAAGTGATCGATGAAACCGCTCTGGCGCCATCCTAAGCATGTCAGTGCATGCCCCAACACGTCGCAGCTGTATTTATTTATTTAGTCCACTTCGCTACAAACATCTGTTGGGCAACCTCCTTGACACTGTTGAATTTAATTTATTCCCCGCGAAGGTGTTTGACGATCCGGCCTGTGTATAACCCCACCCTATCGTAATCCTTTCATGAGATCGAGAGGGCTCAGATCGCGCAGCGTACTTAGGTGGCGGTCGGGTTAGTCGCGATCGAAAGGGGCCGGTAATAATCACACATGACTCATGTCGTTCTGAAACATGTCACAGAACAAGGACAGTTTTACACACATAAGGCTGCTTATTTATGTCCCTTAATAATGTAAAAAGTACTACTTGTAATTTCTTGAAAGTAGTCAGGAAGAGGGTACGACAGGAGTGTATTACTGCTCGTATTGTGAACCAACATTCAAATGTTATTGAATGGAACTTTTGTATTTTCGAGAAAAAAAAAAATAAACCTGGATGCATAAACTGAAAGAAGCACAAGAAAAGAGTGCCACTCGAGTGACACTCCTTTCGCGACTTTGAACAAGATGAACTGTGTACAGGTGACACGCCTGTGCACATCTGAATTGGAATTCAGTACTTTGCCGTTATGTTTGATGTGTGTAGTGATTGTGTGAGGCCATACTATTTGCACATTTGTGATGCGTCTTTGTGCTGTTCTCTAGCAATTGCGAGGGATGTTCTTTTCTTGTGTCTGCTGGTGGTGACTAGGCATCTAAATTTATCTCAAACTAGCCCAGCAACAAGTCCTAAGAAACTTTTTTATGTCTCAGATCTCAGAATGGCCTATCTATAAGTTTGCAGGGAAAGGGTCCTAGTTGCACGCATTGTTGTCACAATGTTACAACAATGTTATCTTCCATTATTGCCTTAAGGTGGCTAATGTCCGTTTTTGGCTGCATTCCCACAACATTCAAAGAAAACATTGCCGATTCAAAGAAAACATTGCTGCAACAGTGATGAAACACTTATGCAACATTGCTTGAAAGTTGCTACTACATTGAGACAATTATTAACTGTAGCAAAGTTTATGCAACGTTTTCCCAATGCTGCTTGAAAGGTTCCACAACATGACGGCAACTTAAAAGTAACACAATTTCGACATGAACCAATATCGCCGTGCTGCTGATATGTCGCCGTGCTGCTTAGACTATAATGCAACATTCAGCCGACCTCTGAGTATCCTAGCTGCAACAGCATCATTGTAATAATGTTGTTGCAATGTTACTGCTATGTTTCAGTATATAGGAAACCGTAGTAATTTTCAAGATATTTGAACATTCGGCAACATTATCTCAAAACAATTTGGCGTTCAGGGCTCTTTTTTCATGCACACAGGTCACGTAAGCACAGGCAACGTCATTCTGTCATATCTCTACAAATATCAAGTGACAGGCTAGTACAGCCAATGGCAGTAGGCACTAAATGGAATTCTTAAATTCATATGATATGTAATGATGTTCTACATCGGTCGTCATGAAGTCAGCCTCAAATGAACAGCCTAGTTGTATGCAGATCTGCATGTTGCCTGTCAATGGTTGATAGCAGTAATATACATTTGCCAAAAAGCTTAGAGGAGTGCTTTGTATTAGTCTAACATATCACTGTGCAGAAGGAAGAATTGTTTTCACGTTTTTTATGCAATAAAAGCATCTCGGTGCTTACAGCACATTGTTGGCAGTGTAGTTTTGAAGAGCAGCAGTGAATCAATCCACCATAGATGTTATGATCTTTCAAGTGAAATCGGCATTCAGTGAGACAGAATCATCACTGAGAGTCAAGATAAAAAGTGATGCAAGAATTTATTACACAGGAGAGAAAATACATATTTCATATAATCAAAATTCAAAGAAAATATATGTTTAAGTTTCTCAAAAATAATTCTACCTATCTAGGATAGGAATATAGCAGAAAAATTTTCATTCATTAATGCTGTCACAATCTGATGAGGCACCTATTATGGCTAGCTGAGATAGGCAATGAAAATAGCCTTCAACGTGGATGAACCAATTACCTGTAATTCATTCAATGAGAAGAAATCACGGCATATCCACAGAGTGAATGATGATGAGTGAGACGAAGTGTCTGTCTGTTCGTTCTTCCATTCGTTCATTTTTCCTTCCCTCCGGTCGGTCCATCCGTTCATCCATGCCTCTGCCTGTGTGTCCATTCTTCAAGAAGTCCATCCATCCGTCCATGCTTCTGTCCGAATGGTCGGGTAGACAGAGGCACGGACGGAAGCGAGAACAAACATACGGAGGCACCGCCGGGCGGATGGACTCTCGAACAGACGAACGAACATGCAGATAGATAAAAGCACAAATGGACAGACAAAAGCACAGACGCATGGACGGACGGGCGAATGGACAGATGCACAGACAGTTGGACTAAGGATGGACAAACGAATGCTTCGCCCCACTTATCATCATTCACTCCGTGGATATGCTGTGAAAACCACTAACACCATTATTCCAAAGACATATACACACAATGCCATCTATTGAGAAAGTCAAAAACTAGAAGTGGCTACATATACATATGGAGGAGGCAACGACCCACGGCCTAAGGAGCTTCTCCCCTAAAAATCTCATTACCACCATAGAGTTAATAAAACAGACTCTGTTTAATAACCGCTATGATTGCCACATTGCACAACTCAGGGTGTCTATCAACCTGTAAAAGTAAGAGAATTTGGGTGCTTCTGGAAAAGTCAGGGAATTTCTGGAAAACCAGGCCAGGTCATGAAAACCGACAGCAGTTCTGTGTGACCTGTCAGGAAAATAAGCATTACCATTGATCAAAGCTTAAAAAGTCTCTCTCTCAGCTGCAACTACAGTGAGCTGCTAGAAGGTGTGTGGAAAAAAAAAAAAAAAGAGAGGGAATAACTCCTGCTTCTGAGTGCAAACGCGAAAGGATACACAGACTCATAGAACACAAGGTTTACCGACTGTTTCAGTACCCGATAGGGTAGGGAGCCTTGTTCATAATGAAAGCCATAAGAAAGGCACAGCGGTACTGAAATATGCCTAAATACGTAACGTAAGCAGCAAGAGTGCATTGTTAGAAGCGTTTCATCACTCCTGTTCAGCGTGTGTACAATCGTCTGTATCTGGATTCCAGGTGCAAGCATGATGCAAACTTCGTTTAAATGCAGAGCATTTTTTAGTCGAACCTATTTGCAAACCTATTTGAATCTATTTGTAGTAGTGTCTACAACCCTACTGCACATGCTCGCATCTCGGGCCAACTGTCGCTCTTCCCACTTTCCCGCCTCGCAAGGCCGAGCCAGGCAGCGTCTTCCTGTGAATACTGACTGCTCGCACTGCAGGACCGTTCACTGACCACTCGGTATATGTAGGCACTGGATCAAGCATTAAAAATTCAGTCAAGGGTGTCTTTACTTGGCTCTCGCTTGACTTGACGCTTTGCTTGTCTCGAGTAGATGTTATGGAAGCAACAGTACCGTCAACCAGTCAATACGAATAATAAATACAAAAGAACGTTTCAGTATTCCTAAACCACGCAGCATTCCTTACGCAGCATCCATGCAATACCCCCCACCACTCCGTGAGGCATTTACTCGAGCCCCCTCCCCCTTGGGAAGCTGCAGGTTTTTTCTTTGTCCAGAACACACGAGTTTTACAAGTCTTTTTGGTAGGCTGCAGATTCTGGGTGTTCATCAAGTGCAGTTCTGTGGCGTCATATTTGTGTTTTTAACTCTTTTCTTGAAATCACCAGTTTCACCGATGCACTGGTTGTCACAATTGTGGCAGCCTGTGGTATAAACAAGACCGAAGAAATTTCTGCTTGGCAACTTGTCCTTCACATTGGCTAAAGCACTCCTTAGCTTCCATGTTGCCACATCCATTATTTTAATGTCTGTTGCTTCTACATATCACACGGCATATCTGACTTTTGAACCACAACTTTACTCACGCCTGTAAATATATGCATATTTATCGAGGACATGATTTCGGTTCGAATTGAAGGTCATCTAGTTTGTCTAGGCTAGAACTGCCATTAGCAGAAGCTTGCCGGGCTACTCGGACCTTTTAATATTATTATTATTATTGTTGTTATTAGTAATATGATTATTATTATTATTATTATTATTATTATTATTATTACTGGTGATACAACAGCAAACTTCCTCAGCATCACGTCCACAGCAGATTACATAAGTCAAGGTAGCGTGCCGACATTCGTGATTCATTTCTGGAATCAAGGAAGCACCTTGACAGATTCCTTCTTGCCACCACACATTCAAACGTTGGCACTTTAAACGCCGTCCCCAGCTTTCATTGCAGCTGTCCGAGAACTTTTATCGCACTTTAATTATCAGAGCCCAGAGACATATACAAGATGCATGTGCTCATCGGTAAAAGAGAGAAAATTTTGCAACACGGCTCTGTTCTTGCAATGTTCTCGTTACCCGTTTTCAAGGCGAGATACACAGAATACGAGAGTTGTAGTTATTCATTTCTTTTTTTGCTTGAAAGTATATTTTAGAGGTGCACAAATTAGACGGGGATGCAAATCAATAGTAAATACAGCAATCTAGGTCAGATCAGATCTAATCCAATCCACTATAAATAGCTGAGTCTCTAAATACAGCAGTTCAGGTCTATCTAATTCACTCCAATCAACATCTCAGTGGCGTGATCTGCAGCCAATATAGTAAAATAGATCATACTCCAGTGGCATAACCGCCCCGTAACGGTGGTATAGTGGCTAGCTAGGGTGCTCGGCTGCTGATCCGCAGGTTGCGGGATCCGCAGGTTGCGGGATCAAATGCCAGCTGTGGCAGCTGCATTTCCAATAGAGGCGAAAACGTTGTAGGCCCGTGTACTCAGATTTGGGTGCACGTTAAAGAACCCCAGGTGCTTAAAATTTCCTAAGCCCTCCACTATGGCGTCTCTCATA